CCATTCCTTGCTGGCCAACCTGTTCTTATCTGGCTGGTTCCTGTAGGTATGAGTCAAAAAGTCCCCTTCAATGGGTCATCGCGGTCTGCAATGGTCCCGGACCGCTGATACGCGATCTGCGCTGCTACTTAGCGATAGATCGACCCGCACGCTTACTCCCGTGAGCTGTGCCCATCAGTGGCCGAATCCTTCGCCGCAAGATAGATCTCCTCGCATCATCACTATTTCATTTCGTTTCATTACGTTTCTTGCTGTGTTACGATCCCAATTATGTTCTACAATTTCTTTAGGCAGTGCTTCGGCATATCTGTCTGCCCTTTCTCGTGAATCTTTTTCTCTCAGCATAGCCTGGATGGAGTATGAAAGAACGATCTCGTCCATTTCCTTTTTTTTTATCTCCTCGTAACTGTTTTAAATTAATTCGGATCTTCTCGGGGATGTTGATGCGTGTTTTTACCCTCTTTCTGTTGAGGTAAGTTTTTCGGTATGTCACGACATGTCATTTCTTGGGTGATTCCTCGTTTGTCTTCTGGATACAGTAAATAGTAGAGTTAATAGTCGAACATGGGGTTGATGAGTGTAGTTTTGGAAATTTCTTTGCCTGCGTCTGCCTGAGCGGTCAGGCCTTTGTTCCTAGTGTAAAGTAGAGGCAGTTTCCTAATTTCAAAGCCGCTTGAGTTATTTAAACTTCATTTTTCGACTTCTTCATATAGTCTTTCCGAGTGAATAGACAGAAAGAATCGAATTAAGCAAGTTAAAGCAAGTTGAATTCACAAAAACGAAGTATAAAAAAGGCCATCGCCTCTTTCTTTGTTGTACGCTATGCCGAATTGGGTTTAGTCAGCCCCTCGCTTAAATTTCGTGTGTGGCTCTCAACTGCGGGAACTTCAACTTTGTATCGCCGACGACCTGATTTTTCAGCTTTAGGATCGCTATTTCCTTCTAACGAAACCGTAATCCGCAACCATGGCGTCGCGTTTCTTTTACGGCAGCGGCAGCGACAGCGACAGCTCGTCTGACGAGGAGGAGGAGGTCTACCGTTCCGGCTCCGGCAGCGAGGATGATTCTGACCAGGATGACACCGACTCCGGCTCTAGCTCCGACAGCAGCGATGAGGAGGGCGATGAGGGACGCACCGGTGCCTCTAAGTTCTTGCACGATGATTCCGACAGTGAGGAAAGTGAGGAGGAGGAGAAGGTTACAGTCGTCAAGTCCGCCAAGGACAAGCGTCTCGAGGGCCTCGAGAGCACCATCCGCCTGATCGATAACGCCGAGAAGATCAACGACTGGGCTGTTATCGCCACTGGTGAGTCCATATACTGGGAGAACTCGAGATCCAGCAAAATTTGAGAGCCCAAGAAACGGCATGAACTGACATGTTTTTCACACAGAGTTTGACAACCTGAACCGCCAAATGCTGAAGATTACCGGCCCTACCCCCAAGGTCTACATCCAGGCCGTTGCCGAGCTCGAAGACTTCACCAATGAGACCGCTTCCAAGCAGAAGGCCTCGAACAAGAAGATGAACGCTAGCAACAGCAAGGGCTTCAACGCGGTCAAGCAAAAGATTAAGAAGAACAACAAGGAATACGCCACCCTGGTCGAGAAGTACCGCGCCAATAAGGATGCCTTCATGGCGGACGAGGTCGAGGAGAAGCCCGCCCCTGTTCCTGCCCCCAAGCCCACCAAGGTCGAGAAGATCGCCAACTTCGCTGCCGCAGCCGCTGCTGCTGCTGCTGGTGGTGAGGATGATGGATTCGCTACTGTCGGACGTGGTGGCAAGACCCTCCAGTACACCCCTGAGAGCATCCTCAAGCACCTCCGTGTTATTGTTGAGTCCCGCGGAAAGAAGAACACCGACCGTGCCGACCAGATCCGCACCATGCAGAAGCTCCTCGAGGTTGCCAATACTCCTTACCAACGCATCCGCACCTACATGACCCTGATCTCCACCCGTTTCGATTTGACTGCCACATCCAACGCCACCTACATGTCAAGTGAGCAATGGCAGGCCGCAAACGAGGAATACTCAGCTCTTCTTTCCGTTTTGGAAGAGAACCGCCAATTCCTTGTCAGCGAAGTCGCTGATGAGTGGGAGGACGACGAGAAGCAACCCACCGTTGCTGAGGGCGAGGTCTTCTTCATTCCCGGTTCCGTCGTATCCCTTGTGGAGCACCTCGACGACAGCCTCACAAAGGGTCTCCGCGAGATTGACCCCCACACCTCAGAGTACATTGAGCGTCTTACAGACGAGCAGGCACTTTACTCCTCCCTTGTTCGCTCGCAGCTTTACGTTGAAAGCCTCAAGGGTGCCGATAAGAATGGCCAGGATAGCATGAACAGACTGGTTATCAGACGGTTGGAGCACATTTACTTCAAGCCCGCTAACGTCATCGCCATTGTTGAGCAGGCCAAGGATAAGGTTGTTCCCACAAATATTGAGTCAGCTGTGACTGCCACCTACAAGTCTGGGGATATCCAGAGCCTCGTGGGTTCTATCTGCAATTACATGTTCCAACACAGCGATGGCATTCCCCGCGCTCGCGCCATGCTCTGCCAGATTTACTTCCTTGCTCTGCACGACCAATACTATAAGTCTCGTGACTTGATGCTCATGTCCCATCTGACTGAGAACATCTCCACTTTCGACGTCAGCACCCAGATCCTCTTCAACCGTACCCTTGTTCAGATCGGTCTCTGTGCCTTCCGCGCGGGTCTCATCTACGAGGCTCAGAACACCCTTGGTGAGATCTGCGGCAGTGGCCGCCAAAAGGAGCTTCTTGCTCAGGGTATCATCATGCAGCGTTACTCCACTGTCTCTCCCGAGCAGGAGCGCCTAGAACGCCAACGCCAGCTGCCCTTCCACATGCACATTAACCTCGAGTTGCTCGAGTGCGTTTACCTCACTAGCAGTGCTTTGCTCGAGGTGCCTTTGATGGCCCAGACCTCCTCCACCCCCGAGCTGCGCCGCCGCATGATCTCCAAGACCTTCCGTCGCATGTTGGACTACAATGAGCGCCAGGTCTTCACCGGTCCCCCCGAGAACACCCGCGACGGTGTTATTGCCGGAGCCAAGGCTCTTGCCGCTGGTGACTGGAAGCTTTCCGCCTCTACATTTGCCGCGATCAAGATCTGGGACCTCATGCCCCAGCCCGAGTTGATCAAGGCCATGCTGTCCCGCCAGACCCAAGAGGAGGGTCTGCGCACCTACCTCTTCACCTACGCCCCCTACTACGACAGCCTCTCCATCTCTTCTCTGGCCACCATGTTCGAACTCGAGCCCAAGAAGATCGTTTCCATCATCTCCCGCATGATCTCCCACGAGGAGCTCGCCGCCGCTCTCGACCAGGTCAACGACGCCATCATCTTCCGCAAGGGCGTCGAGCTCTCCCGTCTCCAGTCCCAGATTGTCACCCTGGCCGACAAGTCTACCAGCCTTCTCGAGTCCAACGAGAAGACCCTCGAGCAGCGCACCCAGGGTATGGCCAATGCCTTCCAGCGCGAACACGGTCCCGGTGCCCGTGGCGGCCGCGGTGGTCGCGGTCGTGGCGGTGGTCGTGGCGGCGCCCGCATTCCCCAGGGCGATCGCCGACCTGGTGGCCAGCAGTTCGGTGGTGGTGCATTGGGCGCAGCGATCAAGGCTTAGATTCTGATGTAATGGCATGTTCTTTCTCTTATTTTCCCCCCTTCTTCATGGTTTCTTTTTCACTCTTGTCATCCCCTTCGTGTTAGTACGACCGTTCCTTGTTTTTTAGGTCGGAAAAATTGCCCCGTTTCTGCGCTTTTTTTGTGATTGATCTACATGATATTCACGTATGGAAATGATCGAGAAAGAATCAAGGTGCATACTGGTTAGAAATTGACGGCTTATGGATTAGTTCTTAGTTCTGGTGTGTGAGGTGTTGTAGAGTATTGTATACTGTACGAATTATCCGATGCATAGCTGCCATGCCATCTTCCCCAACACATCACTGATGAGGTATTGAAAATTCAGACTGATCTTTTGAGGCAGCGATACCAAGAATCTTCCAAGATTGGAGGTGAGCACATTATCATCGTCCTTCCAGCATGGAAGAAATCGTCAACCATGCTCCCTATCTTGGAGCCCATCTTCTTTTCTTTCTACGTCGGCACTACCCTCGAAGCTCGTTGATCAGCCCCCTCATGGATTGATTATACCTACGAAAGTACAAGTGGGCTTTGATCGATATGAAACATGGGCTCTAGTTTCTTTGTCTCCTGTTCTTTCACGCCGCTCACATCTCGGATCATGCTTTGGATCGGGACAAAGAAGTGATTAATTCGACTCTCTCATGCGAGTAATGAACAATCTAGTGTTTAGGAGCCTCTGGCGAGTTGGGACAATTTTACTCTCCTTGGGCCATTGCCTAGGCTGTTGGGGATATTCGTCCTAGAGAGCTCAGTCTCTCCAGTGCCTGGCCGAGCTCGAGTGCATGGATATCTCACATCTCTGGGGTTGTCGAACAAGAAGCTCAATGGCAACGCTATATCAGACTGGGGCTGCACCCCTGTGTCATCTGCCCAGGTGTTGCACTTTGATTATTTGCCCCTGTATTTTGTTGGCAACCACGCCCAGCCCTTTGACATCTTCTTTGATTCATGCGTCCCATCTTGGATGAGACTTGCGAGAGTACACAGGTACATCGAGATGAGACAAAGAACGTTGAAGCAATACCAGAGCTAGAGTTCTGAGATTACATATTTTAGCCTTGAGCTATTCCCATTGATTCTACATACGCCCCATATCCAGAGTTACTCTCTCGGCTTCTTTGTTGTGGAGCATATGGACTTTTTGGGAATCCAAAAATAGCTCGTTTAGAAATGGCTCCCTCGATGGACTTGCTTCTATCTACGCAGGCACTCAGAGTTTATCTTCCCTTACTCCGTGGGCCGTTTCATTCACTATTCCTCTTTGTCCCGATCTAGTTCAATTCCCTAGGATGTTTACTACAAATATCTTCATACATACCCCCGTACCAATGCTTCTCCTTCACCCCAAGTCACCAGACCCCTCCTGCAGTGCTGCAAATTTCATATCCTTCTTCAAGATGCTTCCTCGTCGTAACACGAAGCGGGCATTCTCAGAACCCGCTGTGGACCCCGAGCAATCTGGGAAGAAGCGCAAAGCGAACACCAATGGTAAAACGACTGCCAAAGAGGGTTCTCCTTTTCCTTCCTCTTTCTCTGATTTTTCTTCAGACGAAACTGAAAGTCATGTTCATGCCGCGCCAGAGAACTATGTTGACTACAGCATGATGGCATTGAGTGGACAGTCTGAGACATATTCCCGTCCCCCGAGACAACAGCGATGGAAACACGATGGGCCGCCTATTATCGATCCAGCGCTTGTCCCGGAAGGATGGAATGCCGATGAACTTGACCTCGACATCAATGATTTCGACAGTCAAATTGAGAGATGTATGGAGAGGATCAGCGATGGAATCCTGCCCAACTTCTTCAAGTTCAGGCTATCACAGTATGAGAAAAAGCGGGCTGCACGCGATGAATTGGTCAACTCTGAACCGACCGGGCTTAGCTTTGACATTGTTCGACGCTTGGGTCATTTGAAGGAGATCGAGAGACATCTCAATACGAATGGGGACCCTGATGATCAGCTTCCTAATGTCAAGGCTATCACCAAAGCTTACAGGGAAGGCAGATTGGGGTGGACGAGAGGATGGGTTAGCTACTGGTCGAAGGGCGTGCAGCTTAATACGCCCCAGAAGTTCGAGGTGGATTATCATAAGAAACTATCTGATGAGTACGATACCACTAAATCGTGGTGGGTGGAAGGTGTAAGTTGATCACCACATGAAAGTACTACTCTTGGTCCTAACTAGCGATGTCATTTATAGCTTCAAGCTCCAGGTGGTGCCACTCTAGGAGCTTTTCACGCGTTTGCGCCGTTTAACGGGGTGCACTCCGTCATGGTATGATTATATTGATATCTCAGCCTATATATATTATTTTCTGACTTCCATCTCTTGCCTTCCATATAGTTCCCCGTGCAGGTATCGCCTAATAGTCAAGCTGAGATCGTGAATGGCCTCACTCTCTTGGTGTGCCATGATACTGGTGCCGATATTATGGGTATACCCCAATGCTATTTAAACCAGATTGAGGCGCTAGGTACCCGCGTTGCAGTTCATGGCTATAATATTATGGATATCCCTGGCTCAAGGACATGTCACAAGGTCGTGGAGATTGACGTCCGTCTGACTGACGGCACCAACCGAGCATTATCCTATTGGATGAAAATACAGGCCTGTGTCATAGAAAATAAACCTGGTGATCAATTTGGAATGCTTCTTTCGGGGCCTTTCTTGCGATTTGCGCTTTACACTGCAACATGCCCAGACGGGCAGGGAAATCTTTATGTTTGCAGTCACAAGAAGGAGCTAAAGCAGTTGCCAGCTATCCCGGAAAACTTTGTGCCGAGAGGACCGCCATATTTGAATACCGCTGCTCCTGCACCAGACGGTGGACCACCAGCCCTTTTTTTACTAGAACAGGCACGAGAAACGCCAGAATCGGCAGTACATCCACCACCATTGCCCCTGCCGCAGGTAGCGAAGACAGTGAAGAAAGGGAAAAAGAAGGGGAAGAAGGGAGCGGCCTCTTAAGTCTCAAGCGTTGTGTCTGTACATCGACTCGCCTGTTTGCTTGTTGGTCTCTGGTTGATTAGATTCTACTATAGTTCCTCATTCCCTTGGCTTTCATTTCAGACATGTTTTGATTTAGGTTTTTGATTGTCTTTTGTATACTCTTGTTTTTAAGTCTGCTCCAAATGACATATAAAATCTCCCACGTCCAGAACTCCATCAAATCCCCTTTGAATGTTGTCGAGATTCAGGCTTTGTTGATAACAAGTCCTTCACAATGCTTTCTCACGAAAACATATAGTCCCTTCGGACTAACAAATCACACAGCCTTGTAGTCAGCCGGCCTTGGCCGCCTTAGGAGGGTACTTCTTCCCATCCTTCTCAACTTGAGGTGTGCAGGAACACCAATCGGCTTCGGGAATTGAGTCCATCACCGAAGGAATGTGGCTTCCACAACCCCACCAAGTGACCTTGTCTGTAATAATTAGCTTCTATTCTTTGAACAGAGAGAAGGAAACTCACTGCAGGTCGAGCAAGTAGCCTTCATACACATAATGGAATTGGAATTGTATTTGTTTTAAGAGAACTGACGTGGAGATGTCGGAAGAGTTTGGTTTTTATATTCGTTTCCCTCCGATATTAGTCATAGCCGTCATAGGCCCGGGGCCAGGGGAAGCCCTGGAGTCGCCGATGTCTGAATCCCGAATCCCCGACGAGTCTTTAGGGAGATTTGATTGGAGTTTTACATGTAAGGGGTTCATACTTAAACATTGTACTATACAGCTTGAACTTTGTAGAAGTCTAACATAGTAACATGCATGAATAACATAGTAGTATGCATCAAGACCTGCCAAAATCTGCCTAGTGGGGTATCGCGGGGAACTCTTCCGCAACTTCAACTATTTCAACTATTTCAACTAAACACATCTTAATCATGACGGTCATTGCTGTCGCTGGTGGAACAGGTGGAGTGGGCAAAACTATTGTTGAGAAATTGCTTAACTCGAAATTTGACATTGTCGTTTTATCTCGTGTACGTAGTAGTCACACTTTCCACTACAGAAAGTACTGACCTCCCTCCTCATTAGGTGAAACACGACATTGCTTCGCAGGGTATTCAAAATGTGCAGATCAACTACGATGATATTGCATCAATGACACATGAGCTTGAGCGGCACAACATCCACACTATTATATCCGCCATTAGTCTTGTCTCTGATGAGACAAGTCAGTCTCAGTTGAATTTGATCAAAGCTGCAGAGAAGTCGGTATCGACAAAAAGATTCATCCCCAGTGAATACTCGTTCGTTCAAACGCCCGAGTATGTTATCCAACTTCAGCTGTATGATGTGCCATGCTGATATATTTAACTTTTCAAGATTACTCTCGATTGACCCCAGCATTCAGTACTGGCTTGATGCGGCAGATTCTCTCAAGGCTAGTGGCTTACAATACACCAGGGTAATCCCTGGTTTCTTTATGGACTATTGGGGAATGCCACATGTCAAAACTCACCTGCAACCCTTCACCTTTGGTATTGATATACCCAGCGGCACAGCTGCGATCCCAGGGGATGGGAACAATGTGATCTGTATGACATATACGTACGACATGGCTACTTATCTGGTCAAGGCACTTGACCTCGAGGAATGGCCTGAGTTCAGTGTAATCGTCGGAGATGAAGTTACCTACAACCAGGTTCTCGGTATGGCAGAAGAATTCACCGGTAAGCATTATGCACGCCATTATTTGAGGTACACCCGCAACCTAATACTTTCAAAACAGGCAAGAAATTCAAGGTAACATACGACAGTCTGGAGCAAATCAAAACTAGCGATGTCACTGTCCCTCCACAGCCAGAAGGGATGGAGTGTTCATCGGACGAACTCAAAGAGATGACTGCGTTGGTGAGCAGTCTCACAGTCAACAATGTCTTTCAATTGCCCAATGATCGTCTCAATACCCGGTTTCCAGAGGTGAAGCCAATTACGATGAGACAATTTCTACACAATGCCTGGAACAGAAACAGTGCATAATTTATCAATACCAGCAAGGTTGACAACTTGATTTAATGAATGACCATCTGTAATAACAGCGCAAAAACTCAGAACTCGAAAATTATCTCCCATTACTTCCATCAAACAATCTGAAGGATCGGAGGCCGTGGCGACATCACATTAGGATTTTCATTTTTCGTTTTTCCGTTTTGGGATTATAATGCCAGCAATCCAGTGATTGGCTATCTAGCAGACAGGTCCAGGACGCTGGACCCCAACACAGACCTGTCGGCCCGGAATTAGATTCGAACACCACGGGTTGATATCGTCGTTCCAGCAGAGAAGCTGGCTCATAGTGAACCTATTCTGGTTCCGCGCAATGATATCCCAGCAGGTGTCTCCGTTACCGACGGTATAGAACTCAGTACCTGTTTTTGCATCAGCCTAGCTTGAGATGGTGAAATTTTGCTTTAGCTCAACTCACAATACTGAGTCAGCTGCCATCCTTGGACGGTATCGACAGGGGGAGCTGCGGTATCGACTGCGGCAGATGTACCAAGGGAAGCAATTCCCAGAATGCAGAAGAGAGATCGAATACCGATGGCAACCATTGTGGGTTTTGGGATATGCTTGGATGTATTGATTGTGTGATTGGAAACTGGAGCCTGGAGACTGGCAATGAAACTAAAGACTGTTGATGGTGGAAAGAATCATGCTTGAGAGGGATGGTTTGTTGCTTTTATGTTTGGGAGGTACTGAAAGCCCAAGTGCTGACGTTCGAAGATTTGGAGTGATACTTTGTCTTGTCAGACAAGTTCATACGAATTCAGCCACACGTTGCATCCATGGTATGTTATTGCAACCATATTTGCTCCTTGATAATGAGGCGTTTGAAACAATGTGAACAGCAACATCACAACCAGCTCAAAATCAGCCAATTGATTCAATGAGTTCGTTCTCGCCATGTCTTCATTTCTCCTTATTAGTCGATATATGTCTCGGCTTGACCGATAGAATTCCCTCCTGTTTTACGGTTACATTGCCTTTGGATATAGTTCCTAAAGAGAGAGTAACCTTGGTGAGAGAGGTCCAGTCTGTCATGCACACAATAGTGTGACAATAACCTGAAGCACAACCATTCACCGGAGGTAAAGCAAAGGTAGCGCAAACGTATACCTTAAGACATAGCTGAATCGTGCGACAACATTCTAATAGTCGTAGTCAGTGAGCCACAATCACTCTATAAGCGATGCATTTAGGCTTGATTACGGTTGGCGGCTATTTGATGTGGCGAGATTGGGTTGTTATACAGAGTAACATCCGCCGTTGCATCGCCATGGGTTTGAGTAAATAGTCCTTTTCGGTATCTGATCCTATGAGAAAATACGGTGAAGAGGTTCGATGGAAATATTTCGCGAGAACTATTGCTGATACACAAAGATCATAGTATATTCACGCAACACATGTCAAGGGAGGATAAGCATCACCCAAATTAAATCAAGTGATTCATATCATGTTATTGGTCTAATGAGTTATATGAGGTTATTGCCACTCTGCTCTGATTTCACAGTGATATCATGGCTTCTGCTCTAATTGTCTCGTTTGCGTACTATATAGCACTGGGTTTTATTCAGAAATGTTGTTCAAAATCTATAGTACAAATAGAGTCGCAAAATCCATGACCAGAAGAATGAGAGCTAGATTCACAACTCATCAAAGATCTTATTTCGCCAGACCGATTGAGAAAGTTCGAAGGTGTAAATCTTCCAGAATGCCAAGATGGATGTTCTAGGCCACTCCGTCGGCAGGCCGTTGATCCTCCCCGATGGGTATCTCACGATGAGTATACGAAGTTAGAGTCGATCACGCAATATACGAAAGTCACAGGCTGTGATTCGAGGCTGACTACCTCGGGGAAAGTATTTAATCTTAATAACAATTCAGCGTGTTGGCCTGAGGCAGGAAAGCTGACTTGGCATATATGCCTTAATGCCTTGACGCCTTGACGCCTGAACACCTGAACACCTGAGCGCCTGATTCTCCCCAGGAAACCTCATGTTATCTCAGCCTACAATTTTCAATCATGATGATTGGAGCCGCGTAAGAATTGCAATTCTCAAAGAACAGTTTTGATGTTACTATACACTCATTTCGTGTCATCGACCACCACACTCACAGTGTTGTACGCATTGCAAAGCTAACCAACTGCCCCCCTCATAGTTAACTAACCAAGGCCCCCATGGCCTTCGTGCATTGAGGGAATGGCTATAATTGGATGCCAAACTACGCTACAAAGGCATGCCGTATAATCAGACAGAAGAAGGTCAAATGTGATGGGACTCGGCTAGTCTGTGTCCCCTGCAGAACATTCGACTTTCCCTGCCAGTACGAGGGCACCGTGCGACGCAAGAAAAAGCACAATCGGTATGTTCTACTTGGCTTGTTGGGTCTTTTAATTGACGCATATTTACTCACTCAAGCACAGCAAGGAACATTTCCTGAGCTGGAACAGAGCATTCAGCCTCTACAAATCGAATTGAATGAAGGACATGGACACAGGTCCAGAGCATGTCCAACCCTCAGAAGTATCCGATTCAGAGTTACCATCTCCGAGAGATGACACAGCTCAAGCACCTTTCGAGGCCGAGGCCGATCGAGACAATGGCGATGGAGGGTCATATACCCTTAAAACTCCGAAAGGCGCAATGTTTTGGTGAGGATTAGCTCACCCGTTGTCGTTCCTCAATGGTCACACGAATGGCTGAGCTGATTCTACCGACTATGCCATGGTGCATCCTCTCATTTTTCCATCGTCTCCCCTGATGGTGTTGGTTGGCTTGAAAGACGGGTAATAATGTACGATAGACTAGACGACCGTATCCCTCGGGCTCTTCAAAATGGTTTTCAAAGCAGATGCTCGCAACCCTTACCCTTCAAGGCGGTCATCCTAGATCTTGTTGGATATTTTTACACTTTCAAGCCCGTACCGCTTTTCAGGCCCGAAAGTTCCATCGGGATTGTCAGCAGACACTTCTCATGGGATCCTGACGAAAGTTCCTCACGGTAGGCTGCATTCAATATTGTCCTTGCTTTTTCATACATGCAAAGGGCGGGAAGATCCGGTGCTAGCAGCGACAACTGGGAGAAATGTCTTGGTCACGTCAAAAACAACCTTGGAAGCTATTCATGCAAGCCTACAATTTCCTCGCTATTCATATTCTTTCAAGGCACGCCAAACCCCCAACCTCTATTCTGCTTGCCGCTGCAGCTGTACATCTGTCACAATCTATTGGGTTGCACAAGTCCAGCTCCTTTGGTCTCCCATTATCCCAGATGGAAGAGCGGAGAAGAGCTTTCTGGATGGTTTTATTTTGCACGCCAGCGTATGTCAGCGTAGCGGCCGCCTTATTTCCCAGAATACCCATGAATACAATACTTCACTGCCTCCCGACAACCCACCAAATAACTAAGGTGTAAGGGGAGCGGAAACGCCAAAATCAATTTCTTCTCGGCACTGCCCTGATTTGCTTTAATACAAGGTTTGGATGAACTGTATGGCAGATGTGAAGGGTTGCTTTGCCAATCTTGAGGCATAGAAACGAGGTATCCTACCGATCCTTCGGCTCCGAAGAGTCTTTTCGATCGGCCAACATGCCTTCCTACCGCATATTCTCAAACTTCACTTTGCATATTATTGTTGCTACCTCAATATCCGCCGATTCTCTCTATTTCCTCGGCGCTGGCCGGCCAGTATACGGAATGGGGGGCTCAGTTCCCCGGTCTAATGGCCGAGAGATCGGTGCAACAATCAATTGAAGCAGCATGAGCGGCAATTGAACTGATCAGTCAATTCCGAGGTCACTATTGCCAACCCTTGGAATGGTAAGCTCCCCTGATGTGTCCGACTTTTACTAATCCCTAATATATCAAACAAGAGCATTTTTACTTCCCCGGAGCTTCCCCGGGGCAGCTTTGGTTGCATTATGCTCCGAAATTCTCATTGACCCTCCACATCCTCACACCGAATCCGATATTTCCATGATTCATTGGGTTGTCAACTTTATATCAATGGTCGCATCCCAAGAACAAGCTACATACCTAGACTATGTACTGGCATTGTGCTCCAACTTCAAACGTGCGGTCAGGAAAGAGTTGCATCTGGTCAGAAATCCTGAACCAGACTCCATAAGTGATACCCAGCCAGATGCAATATGTCCCCAAGGACATGTTTTGATACGGAACGACTATGTGCTCACGAACTCTTTCCCAGCTTTTACCAATCGTCCCCAACCGGCTGAAATGTATGGCAGCAACATTCAATACTCAAGAATAATGTCTACAGGTCAAATTATCTATAATACAGGACTGTTGTCCGCTCCTTCTTGGAACTAGCAAGACTTGCTCGCATATGGCCCTCGCGGTGTATGATTTCGGTGCATATGATTTAGCTGAAAGCTCATTGTGAATATGAACATTATTGTCATGGAGATATATCTTATATACTAATATGCCAACCCAGAAAGTTCCCCTGCAACATGATCATGCCAAGTGATGCTTTGATCATGATGGCAATTTGGAACAGGAGCATTCTTCCAAATTGGACTTGCGTCCTTGTCATCTAGTCTGGCCACGGGCCTTAACATATCCATCCGTCCCCATGGGCTATCCTCAAAGCTCATCATAAATGGAGAGTCTTGCGCAAGATATTCCGGGAAAACCCGTTTCCACCCATCAATTACCTGGATCATAATCTCCGAGACAAACTGGTCCGGAGACGAGCGTGCAAACTCGAACGTATCGAGTGTTTTTTGTACCATTTCAACCGGATACAGGCCAACTTCGGGGTCCACCAGAATTGCGTCACCCGCCACAAGCGAGCTTACAACGTGATATGAGCCTCCCTTTTGAGCCCTATCCCGAATAGCCAGCATTGTCGCCAGAGCACCGACAACGCCAGTAGTCATATCAGAGATCGGCAGCGGTGGAAGAACACTTGTTCCTTCATCGAATCCAAGTGACCGACCCATCACGTATGAAGCACCCGATGCAGCATCCCCGATCTGCTGCCAGCCGGGTCTTTCGGCGAATGGTCCAGATGGACCGTAGCAGTTTTCATCTACATAGACAATGCCCTTGTTTCTTCTGGCTGCCATATCCAGCATGCTTTGCAGACCGAGTCCCTTCCGGTCTAATGACCCATATCGGAAGCCCTGGACAAACACGTCTGCATCGCCCACAAGCTCCTTGAGCCGGGCCATTTCCTCTTCCTTTCTGATATCGAGATCTATCGTGCGTTTTCCGGCGTTGAGAGTTAATTGTAGGACCTGTCGGGCACTATTAGTATTTGGTTTCAAGACAAATGGGAAAGTCCGTTTCACTCACATTCAAATCTGCCAGTCGACTACAATTGACACGGATAACATCCGCACCAAAAGATGCGAGAATCACCCCAACAGTGGGACCAGCGATGATTCGCACCATCTCGACAACCTTGATCCCAGCCAAAGGCCGACGATCAGGAAGTTCACTTAAGGGAACTGGCGGTGTCGACTGCGCATATGATTCACGCGTATAATTCACGAGAGGATATTCGGCAAGCCGCTTCCCCATCTCCGTATTTCTCCATCCTTCAGGCGAGTAGCAGATACTCCCGCACAATCCATGTCTCACATTGTGCATTTCAAGTTCATCCGGACTCCATTTCTGCACATGTTCCCGGATATATTCATATCCCTCCTTGAACGATTTCAACGGCACATCCATGTCAATCCCCATCGAGCATAGTGTCTTGCTTGCATCCAGCGACCCATGGAGTTGATACCACACCCCGGAGTCCTTAGTTGGATATAGTGCAGTGGCTCTACCAGCCAACGGACCAATCCCGAACCCCTTCTCAAAGTCTCTATCGAAGATATTGGGAAGTTCGCGGGCCCGTGCAAGAGTCGAAATATCTTTGCCGTTCACGAATGCCGTAAACGTAGATGCAAGCCAGATGCCAGCATGGTCTGTGTTTACAGTCACACTGCCTTCGTTGGCTGGTTTGCAATCCCGTAGCTCGAGAAGTTCGTTTCCAACCAGCCCGCACATGGCATGCAGGGCTGCTGCTACGACAGGGGACTTCATTGGACCGGGGATCATAGGATCTGGTCGGCCCTCGAATTTGACGGTATCCCATAGTGCAGTGTCTTTTGTGAAACCGGGTGTTCGTGATGCCAGTAGTTTGAAGATTCGACGGGCATCTTCCGGTACTGGGAGAACGGACTTGTCGATATAGGTTCCGGGTCCATAGACCTCGTTTGCAGGGATTGTCTCATGCATAGCTAAAGAAAGGGACAATGTGGTTGAAAGGACAATGAGATCTAAACAAAAGAAGTCACAATTGCGATTATTAGGTGAATACCTCGAAATACACCGATACTACCACCCTTTATACTTGTAAAAAGTTCTAAGCCTCAACGGGTGCCAACACATGTATTTTTTTTATGAACATTACTTCAATCTTACCAACATCCAACAATTCATACTACTGGCCAAATAAATCGCGGATTTTCCTAATCTGGCATGGAGTGATGTGATGTGATCCCCCCCGCAGGCGCTTTGGAAAACGCCAGAATAAAAGCGAAGCCGATCTTTCAAGTCAGCCTCAATCAAGACTCAGATTAGCTTAGATCAAATTTGTCACTTTCGTTTAATTGGCTAGGGCTTATTACCGGGATCTCCGTGGCTTTTGTATCTGACTCTCTTTTCAGTTCAGCTTGGAACATTGAACTCTTCAACTCTGATGTTATGATAATATAAAGAATTCAATACCAGTTATACTACATATATATAGTTCAATGTGAATAATCAATATTGAAAAATAGAAGATATACTAATGTCCAGTCCAAGTGAAAATAGCCGACCCGTCAAAGTCGCTAATTGTTCATAGTAAGAGAATTAGATTAACCCAAGTACTAGTGAAGTTGATGTGTACGAAATGTACCGCCAAGCGACTCTAGTGTCGGCTTTATCACAGGGGCTTGATTACCTGGCGGGTAATGCTGCTTGGCCATATGCACTAGCGCACTAAAACACCATGTCAACATGAGATATATCAGGCCTTCCAACCTGGCGAACATATCTGACACAAACAGCCTTGGGGGGATATGCAGCAGACCATCAACGTGGCCCCAAAGGGTATCAAATCCGCACCAAATGGAGGGCCTTAAAAGTGCACCAACTGGTAAGGCGTTCATTTGAATCTGCACTAAATCGTAACAGATCCACTAAAGAGGCCGAGATCTGCAAGTAGGCCACCTATCGGGGAATGACTTTTATACCAACTCCGGCCCTAAGCCGCAGTTCCCAACTCCCAACACCTGAGAAACAATCCTTGTCCTTGCACTTATGCATCCAACAGCGCCAAGCACATCCCATGTTCTCAGCACATGCATACCTCGGCGCCTGGATTCTAGGCCAATGGATAATGCATTAAATATTGGTCTTATGGTTGGATAAGAGGAGAAAGAGAAAGAATCATCAATTCATCAAAAGTTATATAAAATTTGTTTTCATAAATTAGGCCATTTTCTTACCTTTCCACCATTTTTTGCCGTCGACCTATAAAACCGAGAAATGTAGGAATACCTTACTCAATTAGGAGAAAGCAGGGTATTTATACCCTAGAGTCTAACAAACACTAAAAGATGAGATCATCCAACAATTGGAACATGTACAATCATCTTCATGAGACTGCCAACACAGCGACGGCCCAAGGATCCATGCTTATTGAATAATTCCCTTGCCCATTGAAAACACTAGTAGTGACAGTTTGGATTTGCACATTGCCAGGTGTGTCACCGTGGTACTTGGGACCAGCAAGCATCTCCAATTTACCAGTTTTGGTTCCTGGTATACTCACTTTGACATTCTGGTGTTCGGGTCCATAGTTTGCCAGTTTCAAGTAGTATTGTGATCCTGTCTTCGAAGCCACCCAGTAAACAGGTCCAAATCCTGCTGATGAGTGGACTGGAAGAATGGTATCACCCTTGTTAGATGCGAACATCTTTTGAACATAATATGACACCGTGGGTGTGACCGAGTCGGGAGCCGAATTGAAGCCATATAAAGTGGGCTAGATGTGGTTAGCTATATTCTCGGTGCTTTTTTCGATATATGGGTAGTCCTTACCGACCAAGAGACGAAATCAAAGTGCATCATCAAAGGTGCATACGCTACCATCTTGACAATATCGCTATTGCGCTCCATTCCGATCATGTACACGGCTTCGCTGCAGCTACCCTGCATGTATGGCCAGTATACTCCTCTCTCTGCTGAGGTATTGCGACATCCGAACTCGCCAATCATCACTGGTTGGCTCCGCGGCTGGTTATCGAACTGGTCGAACAATTTGACAAAATCGTCTGGTGCTCGGTACAGATGGAGGTCAATAATGACATCTTTTGGAAGCGGAGATGGCAGACACGAGTAGTCCCCATGGGAAGCAACAATCGTGATATTCGGGTACTTGTCATGGATCGCCTTGTAGATCTGATTGAAACGATCCGGATAGGTGTCACAACCACCGGTGAGGTCGTCCTCGTTGCCGATTTCAATAAGCTCAACCTTCCATGGCTCTTTCCGACCGTTCTGAGCTCGCAGTTTGCCATAATGCGTCGAGGAGTTGCCAAAGAGATATTCCATCTCATTCATAATATCGTCGACAAAAGGTTCGAGGTCAGGCCCGGAGAGAATGTCTCCATAGGACTTACCTGACCATACAGTTAGGAGTGGCGCCATGTTCATGTCTTCACACCACCATAGATACTCATCCAGGCCGAGAGCATCTGTATTGGGATAAAACCAGTCGCTTTCTCTTCCTGGGCGGTCGACCACAGGTCCGATCGTGGTATTCCACTTCCAGCGACTCTCAACTTGCAAGCCTTCGATGTTGTTTCCACCCGGGAATCGGAGAAACGCTGGATTGACCTCGTCCAGAAACGATGCAATGTTATCTCGTAACCCGTTTTCTCTTCCTTTAAAAGTAGGACCAAACAGCTGGATTAAGCCAAAGTTCAACGAGCTGCCAGCAACTTTCGATCCATCGAATGTCAAATGCCACTCATTATCCCCTTTTGGTGTATAAGTAGTGTTGAGCCTGGTTTTGAATTCCGTGAATTTCGAATCCGTGCTCTTGACGGTTAAGTTGTGATCAGCATATATCGAACCACTGTGAGAGCCAACAAGCTGCAGGTTGATGTTTCCCGAGTAGTTGCCCATCATCCAGAATGAAGTGTTGTATGTGGCGCCCGTAATTGGAATTCCATTATAACCGGTATTGGCGAAACCAACATAGCCTGTTGCACCATCCGGTACTGCGACATTGAGCGAAGACGTAATTGCTTTGCTGACAGGCTTTGAGGTATCCTGGGACATTATCACGTCTCCCACCGGGGCGTAGGCAGTTAAGCCAAGACTAGTTCCTTGAAATCCATTGTTCTGTAGCAATTGTCCATGGATTCCACCGTCCCCTTCAGATAGTCAGTAGACGTCTCGTAATCAAATCGACTTTCCTACCTGAATGGTCCATTTCCTAACATAGAATGTTAGCGCAGCTGCTTACACATGTGGTTATCGTGTTACTCACCTCGAACATAACACCATAGAGAATCGGACTCGACTTATTACCACCCTCCGGTTCGACTGTCAGGTGGAGTGGAACAGATGAACTATTCGTTTCAGCCAACGCGCCTCCTAGACATGTAGCCAAAGCAATGGAGCTCGCGAGGCCCGCGCATGTCACAGGCTTCATGACCAGTCAAAATCAGGCACAAGTATATGCCTAGCAATAGGTTCCAAATGAACGAAGAGAGCTGGCAAGAAGCTATGTTGGGGAAAGCTGCACTTTTTGAAAAGTTTCGAAAAAGCACTGCCCCTTGAACGAAGTAATTTCCACAGCTATAGGGTATGTATGATTCGTTCGTGTTGGACCTGACCTGACAGGTGTTCTCCACAGAGGCATCATGGACCTGAATGGAGACCGCATGCAAATCATCGTGTCTAAGACAGGTAGGTCGTTGAAGCTTGGACCTACTGACATCGTATAGCGAGGTGAGCTTCTAATCACGAGCATCTTTTAGGCACTTTTGTCATTATGCATTCTCTCAATTCTCTTGCGCAGCTGATTCTCGCCTTATTTCTATGTGCGTGTTGTATTAGTGTGCATTGAGGTTGAAGAGGAGTCATGACGTCGGACACTTCCGTCGTATTTTCACCCAGATCGGGATCTCCCAGTAATTAACCGCATCTTAGTTGAACCCCCTGGATATTCCCAATTTGCAGGGAACACTAATATCGAATTTCAATGGGAGTCTGTATCGTTGGACAATATTGAGATGGTAGTTAACTAACAACTAACTTACCTAGTAGGTACATCTACAGGGTACTCAAACACCCTATTCCATACATTTTACAGGGTTTCTCTCTCTCTGCACTCCAACAATAGTATTATGTGTATCTGAGAACCCGAACCTGTTCATGCGTCAATTTATGTCATGCAATGCAAAAGCCCGGAATGAAAAACCGACAAGAAAAAGAAACCAGAATCAGAACCAGAATTCAAATAAGGAATCCAAAACTTCCTTAATCCGTAGCTCGCTTCCAGAACTTCCAGCCACCTCTCAAGTCTTCCATTCCAACACCAACAAGACGCTCAATACCTTCAGGGCCCTCGGCATTTTCGAACTTCTGTTGATCGATCTCCTCACCACCATCACCATCGCCAGTGCGTAGGACAGCCGGATAGAGAACGCCAACACCGTCACCTCCGAGGGTGACTTCGTATGTAGCGAAACCCTCCTCGTCAAACTTTTGTTCGAGGTCCTGCTTAACTTCCGCCTTTGCATTAGGCCGGAGGAGGGTAATCGCACATCCGCCACCACCTGCACCAGTCAGCTTTGTCCAGCCGATGTCGGCGTAATCGACAAGTTCACGAATGCGTTCGAGACGGGGGTGAGAAACGCCTAGGGAGACAAGGAATCCATGGTTTATGCGAATCAGGGTTCCGATGTGGGCGAGGGTAGTATCGGAGATGTTGAAACTAGGGTCCTCGAGTAAACGTTGCGCAGAGCATGTCACTTGGTCGATGCCATTAAGAATTGATTCAGTCACAATAGGATGAGCATTTCTTAGAGCCGCGACTTTGTCGACTTCTGTCTGTGTAGAACGCGCTTGTCGGGTGTCAACAAGCAGGAGAGGAAGTTCAGGGAAATTAGGTAGCGAGATAACTGTCGGAGGTTTCAAATAGTCGTGGCGCCGGAAAATCACAGCCTTGCCGCCTGCGGAGACCGTGTTATCCACCCCGCTAGGATTGCCATGGATACAAAGCTCTCCAACGAATGCCCAGCGGTTAATGCGCTCGATTTGTGTCTCCGCCTCCTCCGGTGGCTGGTCTGGGTGAGGGCCGGCGAGAGTACGTATTTGAAGAAGTAGCGCAGCACTGATACAAACACAGACACTGGCACTACTTCCTAGGCCCGCTCCGGTGGGAATAGTGGATCGAAGAGTGTAGATTGCGCCTGGGCTTTCCGGGGAGCCTAGGGAGAGGAAAAGATATAGGAATGAGGAGGCGGAGCGGCGGTGGATATTGCGCTGCTGCTCTGGGAGGCCCTTGGAGATATCCTGAAGGTGCGGTTCGATTGCAGTAACAAGTTCTGGGTCGAGTTCGGTGACAAGGCTGTAGTAGAACTTCTTTTTTGATGGATCGCGGAACTTGTCCCAAGGTAGAGCGTCAATATTCCAAGTATGACTAAGACCTAAGTCTCGGAAGTTCAATGTTATCGTGCGCTGTGATTTGGAGAGAGTAGTGACAAGGAGGTAGGAGCGAAGAGAGATGGCTGCAGCCATGGCAGCCTTGCCGTGGACCACGGCATGCTCGCCAAAGACGATAACTTTGCCCGGCGCAGAGACCATGAATGTGGGCGCCATAGGCGAAGAGGCCTTGCGAGCCATTATCGGGCGCTTTCGCTCCTCAGCTTCGTGTGTTTCGGGGTCGTTCACACCCTTAGAGTGAATAGGGAGGATTTTGACTGTTTCAGGGTGAAAGTCGACCGTACGACGTGAAACAGGATTAGCGACACTCATACCGGGAGGTAAGGGGTAGAATTAGGTATTAAAAGTGTAACAAAAGAGAAAAGTAGAGAATGGGAAGTCGAATGGGTCCAGACAACTTTGTAAACATCCAAAGATCACCTGGGCAAAAAGATGGGGGAAGTGCTCGAGACTACTGAGTATACCAGGGAACGAGGCTGACCCAATCATAATCATCAATTGGTCATACGTTGACTAGGGTTATACATATAACTACATTACTATTTACAGTATATTCTTTTACTATTTCTCATCTCTATTTATTTTTTTCTTATATGTATATCTTATCCCTAAGTGCAGAGATTTTCGTGGCGTGCAGTAGCGCCGGGATCATCTGTATGTCTTGAGTTTTGCACTTCTTGAGCTGTTGAATTTCACTAAAAAATAAGTAACATTGCTGTCAATCTAAAACCGAAAAAAAATAAATAAATAAATAAAAATCTAGCGTGTGCTATGTACAGTTCTGTATAATTCGTCAATTCATCACAAATTCATTGTCACGGTCATGCTATTACTGTGCACCAGCAAGCACGGAGGCAAGTCATTCCACAGGACTTCCAGATCGCTCAAGTAAGATGCACTATCATCCGCACTAAGCGAAGTACCCTCCACAGGAGACGGCAGAGTCGTGAAGATAACGGCGGTATCACCACTCTGCTGGACCATCAACTCGTTCAGAATCAAATGCTGTGCTCGACTAGGGAGATCGTTGAAAGACAATGGAACCGATGCCGCACCAGGGTATCCCGTTGCATGCGGAGTACTATGAGTACCGGGGGAGGTCGACACGGCAGATGGGCGGCGAGCATAGATAGAATCTAGCTTGTTTGCAAATCGTGGAGGTGAATTTTGCGCCGCAAACATGATAGACGGCCCATTGCCCTCCTCGGCTTCGGTGTTCACTTGGGCTTCAGGGATGGGTGAGGAGCTGAACCGATTGGTGGAAGCAGTACGGCTGATTGGCGCTGGTCGACCTGGAGATTTGCTTTTCGGGGAGGCATTATCGCCAGTCTCAATTATGGTTGGGATGAGCGGGTTGGGTGGGGCTTCTTCTGGGCTGCAATCATCAGCCTTGGACCGGCCAAGGAGTCTCGAAGAGCCGGACACGGGCACAGGCTCATTTCGAGCGATGGCTATGTCCTCTCCGCCGTCCTCTGGTTCTGGATCACTGACATACGCCTCCAGGTCACTTTCTTCGCTCTCACTCAAGCTATCGGGGCTGTCGTAGTCGACGAACGCATCTAGCAAGCGATGCGTTTGCATCCCGAGGTTTACTCCTCCTAGCGCCCTGAAGCTAGAAACAGATCGTCTGCGACGAGTCGACTCAATCAGTTTCCTCAAGCCAGTCACGCGAGGGTGCAAGGGTTTAGCTCCGCTGTCTTGGCTCGACGGTCCTTGCCAGGTATATGACCTATCAAGGTGAAGACTGTCACTGGTTCTATCCGAATCCTGCTGGTCTTGATCTAGGGTACGAGCTCGTAGGATTCCCTGCCACCATTCTTCCCCCTGTAGAGCGGAATTAACCCTCTCTCGGGCATCAACTGTGACCGAAGTGTCGCCGTTCACGATGGTTTGGTAAGCTTGCAGATCACCGCAGGCCAGGAAGAAGACCAAGACTTCTGCTTCAATCCGTAATTTTTCAAGGAGAGCCTCAACCCGCCCTCTTTCATCTTCCACATCGGTCTCGTACTCCACAAACACCGCCACTCGGATTTTGTATGTCTTCTTCCACGAAGGAACAGTGTTGAGAATACAACCCAGCTGAAGGATCAAAGTGTACGTGTCAAAATTAGTGGTCAGCACATTTTGCTTGCTTTCACTATCAGCCCCAAGCTCGGCGGACATTTGGATCGGCCACAGATCAATATACTTCTTACTATGGCGGCCGCTAGAGTCTGGGAGTTCCAGATCCTCGAATCCCTTCGCGACAGCAACATTGATCCGAAGCTTGAACAATAGATCTTCGAGGATTGTGACATAACTCTGCCCGCTCATGGGCGGGGTTGTCGGTCCATGCTCCCTGGCCTCCTCGGTTCGCATGCTCGAGTGCGTCGAATAGCGTCTAGTCCTGGAGTCTTTTCGGCTGCTGTTTATAGATACAGTTTCAACAAGCGATTGGTCCGACCGGAATTGGTCAATCACCACGATGTTAGGCCTCATGCCTCCCAGTCCGGAATTCAAGACAATGTTTCGCATACCCCATTCTGCAGCGGGTGAAATAGCAACGTTGACGAAGGCTTTTATTTTGGAATATTCGACGAATTTCGTCCATGCTGTCTGTTGGCGACGTGCTTCGGGGACAGCTGCTGAAAAATCATCGGTCACAAGAACATGAGCTAGGACAAACAGTGATCCTTTCTTCAATGAGTTGCAGAAGGAGACCATTTTGTATTGCTTGTCGAGATCGCTGACAAAAAGCAGGATCTGAGGACGCCAAAACTTGACGTGCTCCTGGCGCAGGCGAAGCAAGTATTTTCGCACTTGATGATAGATCAAACTCTGACTGACATCGCCCCAAGGCTTGGGTGGCGAGGTGTAATGGATCAACAGGAAGAGAATCACTAGGATGCCTACACATCCCGTTGCATAAATACCGTCCACGAAAAACATGCTGATCCCACTAACGAGCGTTCCAGCCGCTGCAGTCTGCCAGTTGAAGTAGTGGAATGACGGGCGAAAGTTGGGTGCAGAGCCAATTTTCAGGAGAAAACACGCGAGATTCGTCACAAGGAAAGTCATCAAGTAGGTCATGGTAACAAAAGATGCGATGCGATTAATGTCGAACAGCATTGTAACCTGGGCGAACACGAAGGTCACAATGATGGCATATATGGGATCGTCAGTTTTCTGCGCGCCTTGGGCAAAGATTCCTATGCCGGGCAAGAGGCTATCGCGCGCAATAGCTTGAAGAAGTTTAGCTGATCCAATTACACCCATCAGGGCGGAAAAGAAACTGGTTGCGAATTCTCCGAGAAGGATCACACTATCAGAGGCATTTACCTATACTCAATTAGAGTGTAATTCTAGTTTTCCTCTCAAACAATAACTTACGACTTGTATAACATTCACGTTGTTATAAAAGGACTCCCGAGTCACCGAGGCCGCCATCGCAAGGATGACAAGCCCATAAGTGACAAAGGTAAAAGCCAACCCCGAAAGGGTACCCTTAGGGATAGCCTTACTCGGGTTCTTCAAGTCACCAGACATACTTGCACCTCTGATAGACAATTAGTAAAATGGGAATGAAAGTCTGTTGTCGCCCAACTTACGCAAAAATACCTCCTGTGGCAGGAAATAGAATGCCAAAGAGGTCTTGAAAGTTCTCTCGTCCTTTTATTTGGCTCCCTGCAGCTCCCTTGGTTAGATGAGGTTTGAGATTCCCCATCAAAGTCTTCAATCGAAGTCCCGTGAACTCCACGCCCTGGCGAGGGATTGGGAAAGGCTTCATGAAAAGCGCAGAAAGGGGTATGCTGAAGGTCGCCACGAGTAGTATAACCAAAAGCCCTTTACTTGCCCTTGCAAATATGGAGCTCCCTGCCAAACAGATTGACGTGCAAAATACCAATATAACTGTTCCCCACAGGTATTGCCACCAAAAGCCTTCCTCAAGGAAGTTGGCCCAGTCCCCAGACTGCGTCCCAAAGTTCTGAGTAAAACAATCCACTAAGCCAACAGCATTCATACCGGTGTTGAACACATAGCCAAGATAAAATACAATGCCGATAGAGCCACCAAATTCGGGGCCCAGAGATCTAGAAATAAGGTAATAGGCACCACCGCCTCGGACCGTCCCGTTTGTTGCAATTGCAGACAGAGACATAGTTGTCACGAGGTTAATTGTGTATGATACAAGTAGCAGCCCTTTGATGCATCAGACGTGGCATCCTGACTTTGTGAGGAGGTATGCTCACCTAGTATGCCCAATACACCAGCTTGTCCCAGGATGAATCCGAACCGAAGGAACATAAGAATGCTCAGGACATTCAATGTCGTTGGAACAAAAACACCGGAAAATGTACCAAGCTTCTTCGGCTCATCCACGGATCGGGATCGATATCCACTCTTGTCCTTGCGGGAGTCGTGGAGAGGACCCGCAGACAGGTACACATTTTGTGAAGCGATGTCTCCACTGGCCTCCTGTCCTTGATCGTGGTCCACTCCGTTATTCCACCACCGAGAAATGCCCCAGAGGTAATGTATGGGTGAGGAATGGCGTTGGCCCTCGCTTTCTAGCGAATTCACGGGCTCATACGAACGGGCCGATCGAGCCGGTGGCCAAGGTAGCAAGCGAGTACGTTCGTCGGAGGTAGCATGGGCCGATTCCCCCGGGTCGAGACGTGAGACATCTTCTTGAGCAGTTCGAGTCGCGAAATTTGGGCGTCGCCGAGATATGGAGTCGGAAGATTCTCCGACTCGTTCGGTCGCCATATCAGTTCCAAAATTTATGGTATGAACATGAGTGCACAAACGAAAAAAAAATTAGATAACAGAAGCCAATAGTCCCAGCAAGACCATTGAGTCTGCAAAAAAGACGGCGCTAATGGACAGGAAAAGGAAAACAAGCTGTGTATCTAGATGACGTTGATTGGGGGATGCAAACAGTTTGCACCCCCAGTCTACCGGAGCTGGCCATTGCCGCTTGGCGCTATTAGTGTCTTAAACCCTCCTCAGTTACATCTTGGGCTTTTCACCCGAACCCTCCCTCCGAGAAACTGACCTACACTATTTCAAGCGTCCGGCCTTCTTATGCCCATTCCTCGAGTCTAAATACGGCATCTTGTCAGGAGCTAACTTGACACCCTGAGGCCACCTTCAAAATGGCGGATAATGGAGAGGGTTCATCCCTAAATCCAGCTCGGTCTATGCCGATAGCCTCATCCTCGGTGCGCTCGAGGTCCCCCGCACCTGAGTTCGGTAGTAGGCAGGCTTCCATGGCACGCCTCGCATCCCCGGTGCCCTCCCCTTCATTGGGAACATCCTTGTCCTCTCGACAGGGTATTCCGGCCAGCCGACCTGTCACAAATACCACCGGACAGGAGTTTTCCAGGTCGATTGCCAACCCTTCCTCGATACCCGGTCCTGGACACTCTATCATTGCATCTCAACTCCAAGAAAGCCTTGGTCGCTCGCCGCCGAGATTTGGAACTCCGTCTAGACACAACGGATCCCCTGCGGTGCAGTCAACCCTAGATAACCGACCGTTGGCCTCTCAGTATGGCTCTTTCGATACCAAAAATGGATCCGATTCTCCGGGCATGGCTCCATACGAAGACCCCGAAGTTATCAAGCGGCATCTAGTCACGGAACACACAGATAATCAGTCGGAAATTGCGACCAGCCTTGGTGGTGAAGATAACTTCTCGAGTCTACAGCTTCAGGGCGGTGATATCACACGACAGGTTTATCGATGGGCGGAGGATGCTGAGGCGGAAGCCGCAGGGCGGTTCTTGCGCAGCAAGAGTTTCAGCGTCAGCCGACCGAGACCAGAGGCTGATACGGAAGACATTGACACAATTCGGGTTCCAGGAGGGTTCCGCAGAGATTATCTACGAAGAGCAGCTGGAAGTCCACACCGCGGAAGTGTCCACGGGTCAAATACAGGTGCCCCCCATGGACATGGTGCACCTCAACTGCCGACTAGTAGCTTCTTAGAGTTCTTGACTCTTTACGGACACTTTGCTGGAGAAGAATTGGAGGAAGATGACGAGGTGCTAGGGCCGGATGAGTACTTCTCGTCGGATACCTGGGACGATCCAGAGGAGGGCAGAGAATCTGGAGAGGACGCAGCGCTATTGCAACCTGAAACACCGGGTCGGAAGAAGAGAAAGCACAAACAGCGCTCCCCGCCAGGGACAACTACTACAACAGGTGCAGTACTCTTGCTGCTCAAATCCTTTGTGGGTACTGGTATTTTGTTCCTGCCTCGAGCCTTCCTCAACGGTGGTATGCTCTTCAGTAGCATGGTGCTTCTGGGAGTCTCCATTCTGAGCTATTATGCCTTCATTCTTTTGGTCAATACTCGCATGAAGATCGAAGGATCCTTCGGTGACATCGGCGGCATTCTATACGGCAAGCACATGCGGCGCATCATTCTCGGATCAATTGTGTTAAGTCAAATAGGCTTTGTGGCAGCATACATTGTCTTTGTCTCGCAAAATTTGCAGGCATTTGTACTAGCTGTGAGCAAGTGCGTGACATTCATTGACGTCAAGTACATGGTTTTGTTGCAGCTGGTCATCTTCCTCCCTCTATCTTTGATTCGCGACATCAGTAAACTTGGATTTACCGCCTTGATTGCTGATGTTTTCATTCTTTTGGGTCTACTTTATATCTACTACTACGATATCAGCACTCTGGTTGACCAGGGTGGCATTTCAGACGTCGTCTCTTTCAATCCAGCCACCTGGTCAATGTTCATCGGTACCGCCATCTTCACCTACGAAGGTATCGGTCTCATCATCCCGATTCAAGAATCAATGAAGCAGCCAAACAGATTCCCTGGTGTTCTAGCCGGTGTCATGGTCTTGATCACGTTTATCTTCCTGTCTGCCGGTGCCTTGAGTTACGCGGCTTACGGATCGGCAACCAAGACTGTCATTCTTCTTAACCTTCCTCAAGATGACAAATTTGTCAATGTGGTCCAGTTCCTCTACTCACTTGCCATCCTGCTAAGCACTCCGTTGCAGCTCTTCCCCGCTATCCGCATTATGGAGAACGAGCTGTTCACTCGCAGTGGCAAGTACAACCCATATATCAAGTGGAAGAAGAACGGGTTCCGTTTCTTCCTAGTCATGGTCTGTGCCCTTATCGCCTGGTGTGGCGCAAATGATCTAGACAAGTTCGTTTCCCTAGTCGGAAGCTTTGCTTGTGTTCCATTGATCTACGTATACCCGGTATGTCATTTAACATGTATCCTCCTAACCATTACACAGCGGTATGGCTGACTCATTCTATCGTTGTAGCCCCTCCTACACCTGCGCGCTTGTGCTCGCTCCAAACGCCAGGCGATTGCCGACGTAACTCTTGCTGTCTTCGGTGCCGTATGCTGCGTCTATACAACGTACCTGACCCTCATGAGCTGGATGGGCCCTGAAATTCCTCAAAGCCCGGGATACTGTGACTCTCATTGAAGAATTTCTATTTTTTTTTTGGTTACTGTAGATCGTGACGAGCTAGGTCTTGTTGCATTTCTTCCAACCCTAGACTGGGATATATATCGTTGGGTTTTCATATGCTACTTCCACACAGGAACGGAAGGCATACTTGTGATATTCATTCACATTCTCAGTCAAATTGTCAGTATAGTGGGCGAATTTGGGGGGTAGAGCACCCTTTCTGTATACATATTTTCTTGGGATTGGGAGACGATATACTCGATCATATTTGTGTGGCTTTCTCTAGAAGTTAATCGGATCAGGAATAACTCAAGAATAAAAGGCACAGACTATAGCCGAATATCGAAGTCGTTATAATCGAAAACTAGGTCATCCCATCAAAAGGAATATTATTCAAGCGCAATAATATAAAGCCTATGTACAGTTACCATCAACAAAGCGGCAATAGATCGCAGCCCGCACCGATGGCGAAGCGTCTTCCTCAAACTCGCACGTCTACCTCTATATGCCTCCTCTTTTGTCATTGTCCAGGGCTCGTCTAGCCTCAAGGCGAAAACCAGCAGACCATATGTGTATCGAGGTGCAATTCTGCGAAACGAGATAGATGCCTATTAGCCCCAATGAAGACCTAAACAAAAACAGAATCACTCCTTCTCAGAGGCGATTCTTAAGCACCGGCCTCAGCGGCCGCGCTGCCCTTAGCAGCCTGCTCAGCAAGCTGCTTTTCCCGGCCTCCCCACCTGCAAAGTAAAACCAGGTCAGTCATCAGATTATATAATGTTTGTGGCAAAATGCAAAGACCAAACAAGGCCTCATAGGACGAAACGTACTTCCAGTAGTTCATGTAGCGGAATCCCTGAGTAGTCTGGGCGCCGAAGTTGGTCAAGTGGCATGCGAAAAGGAGGTAGTTCTTGGGTGTGATAGCGAGGGAGTAACGCATGAAGGTGGCAGCGTAGACGATGAGGGCACCGGTCATAGGGCCGGAGATGCTGTTGAGATGGAGCTATCAGTACAGTTGCTCTGATACCATTGCAGCCAAGGGAAACTCCAAAGATGAAAGCCGAAGCTTCCGTCATTCATCCGATGAGAACTTACATCTCAGCATCCTTCTGTGTGTCCATCACAGCGGCAATGGGGATACCGAAGTTGGAGACGGGTCCCCAGAAGTCTAAGAAGTGCCATCGACAGTCAGCAATCTCTCGAGTCCATCTGCGGCTTATTGCTTTGTGGGAGTGCAAGTTCGAGGAAAAATTCGTGTTCCTCTCATCCTTGATGTCACTTCCAATGCTTATTCTCCTTCGGTCTCATTCACCGTTGGCCGATCTCGGGACGGGAAGCACTCGGGAAACTGGTGTCGATACGTACGGGTTGAGCAAACATAGTCCAGCACCGAGTTGGAGCGGATCTTGGCGTTAATTGCCTTGATAGCAGCAGCCATTGTGAATTTTCAGGGAGATATCACACGGGATTGAGTTCGGGGGATGTGAGGTCGATATCTGGAGGATGCGGAAGCACACGACTCACCGGCGTCGGCCGTGTCACGTGAAGTACCTTACTACAATACATAGTTATCACCTTCGTTGAAATCGATGTCTTATAAAGTAATTATCAGTTTCTCGTATTGGTTTGCAACAGTCAGTAATTACTAGTGGCTACGTATAATATGGTGGTTCTCTGGTTGTATTCATATGTTGTGATTTTTGACCGCAATCTAAGGCGCACGATAGAAATATATATTGCGTAGATTGACCTCCATACTTGCGATCCCAGATTCACCGCTATACCGTGACTTAATGTGCAAATGACACCAGAGGAAGGAAACGACTAGATGTTATAAGATACGAGCGTAATGATGTTACAAATGGGCCAATCTATTGATGTACATGGCACCGGTAGAGTGGAAGGAGGGTCCGGTTGGAGTATATGGGGTAGAGGTGCAGGTATAGAGGCACAGAGAAAACAACACATAATTTAACAGGCAACAGACCTAATTAGTTGGGATATTGAATGATATTGAATGAAAAGGCCGCGTGTAAAAGCTAGCATATTTTTTTTTTGACTTAATGCGTAATTCAAAAGGATATTGGTCTTTTTTTGTCCCTTTCCTCGACACGACCTCCATCCATGCGCCGCAACGCCTTGCCCAGTAGAATTTGGGGGTAATCTAGCCTGTCCGCGTATCGTTATCTCTCACTGGAAGCGTTGACAATGGTTCTTATTCTGCGCTGAACCGCCCATGTTCCTTTCCGGGGTCAAATCATATCGCCGATAATTTAAAGCGTAGAATAATCCTTTGTGCATATTCCTAATTACCTGCCACCAAATCCAGGAGGAGGGTATCCACGTCCTTGACCGGGGGGCTGGAAGCCAGGAGGAGGTTGGAAACCGGCAGCTATGGGAATGGAATATCAGTATGGGAGCTAGGATTGGAGAATGATTGGGCGCAAACTTACGGGGGCCACCCTGAGGAGCAAATCCAGGAGGAGGTGCGAAACCAGCTAGAAAAGAACTAGTCAGTTTGAGTTCCAGTCGATCGGGGCAAATGGGAATATTTACGGGGTCCACCAGGGGGTCCTCCACGCCCAGCGAAGCCTGGAAGAGGGGCGCCGGGGAAACCGCCAGGGGGGAATCCGAATCCGCCTGGGGGTGGGGGTCCACCAACACCGGCTGCAGGACCTCCGAGTCCAATAGGCAGGCCGCGGCCAGCGGGCTTGCTGATACCAGGGCCCGCGGCAAGAGTGGCAGCTGCACCGGGTCCGGCGGTGCCAAGTCGGGCAGACGGGTCAGCAGCAGGGGGACCTTCAACAGAGCAAGACACGACTTGAGTACCGCGCACGATAGTCAGGCCGAGGCTTCGTTTCTCTTCCGCTTCGACCATCGGGGCGTTTGCGGGGCCGGCGCTGGGCTTGGATTTGCGCTTGATACGACGGAATTCTTCTGTATCTGCAAGAACTAGGTTCATGTGCTAGAGAGTAGAAAGGTCAGTTGGGCGCTCAGTCTCTGAAGTAGTGAGACATGCCTTATCGAATGCAAGCATGGAACCAGTCATTTGACGTCCATCGTTCAGTGTCACGCGCATCCGGTAGTTGATCTGCAGGATAAGTTAGATACCCAATCAATGACTGGAAGTAATTCGAGCCAGACTCACAAGGTTTTGCTAAATGAAAGAAGTTAGCGACAGCCATTGACCGCACGGGTTTCGGGGGTGCAAATGGGGACGAGAAACTCACCATCTTGTGGGAAGCCATATTGGCTAGAGAGTGCGCACGGATGCGACTTGTGAGATCAGAGAATAGAGATCAGTAGATAGAAAAAGTCTCTCTACTGCGAGGGATGAAGGAAAGGTGCGAGATCCTACCGAAGATGGAAGCTCAAGCTTGTCAGGTGCTGCCAGTTCTTGATACTGGATTACCTAAGGTATGAGTCAGCCACCGATTCGTAAGTTTTATGCCTCAGACATAAAGTGGGACAGAAGAGCTCATGACTAAGCGCTCAAATTAAACTCATTACCTAAGCAACGATCAGGGCTTCCAAATCACGTGTTGAAACCCACAGTCCACACTTTCTCTTTTTCCGCGATCACACTTGTCTCCCCAGTCGACAACCACTTCACGCCCAACCGCCGTCATGGTATGTTCAGCTTCCTACAATCCAAATTACACATTCCCGATCGACTGCACTGTTTTATTTTATCCCACTTAATCTGGGCCGCAACCTGGAGATCTCCATCTCGCGCGCACCCAGTCTTGGATTTCCCTCAAATATCTATTCTTCAACTAAATACACCATCCACAATATGAGACTAACATGATGCATGTAGTCTGCCCAAGTTGCTAAGGCCGAGAACCCCTGCCGATCCCTTCGCTTGTCGAAGTTGGTCCTGAACATCTCCGTCGGAGAGTCCGGTGATAGACTCACTCGTGCCGCCAAGGTTCTCGAGCAGCTGTCCGGTCAGACCCCCGTCTACAGCAAGGCCCGTTACACCGTCCGTACCTTCGGTATCCGTCGTAACGAAAAGATCTCCGTCCACGTCACCATCCGTGGCGCCAAGGCTGAGGAGATCCTCGAGCGTGGCCTCAAGGTCAAGGAGTACGAGCTCCGCAAGCGCAACTTCTCCGAGACCGGTAACTTCGGATTCGGTATCAGCGAGCACATCGATCTCGGTATCAAGTACGATCCCGGTATTGGTATCTACGGCATGGACTTCTTCGTCTGCATGTGAGTTTTCGCTGGATATTGTTTTATGGCAATTCACCCCGGATATTAACAAACAATCTAGGGACCGCCCCGGTGCCCGTGTCGCCAAGCGCCGCCGCTGCCAGTCCAAGATCGGTGTCAACCACCGCATCACCACCTCCGAGACCATGAAGTGGTACAAGACCAAGTACGATGGAATTATCCGTTAAGTCTAAAAAAGACATAATGGCTGGGTATGGCCTGTGAAGTACGAGGTACTCGACAAGAACCAAAAAATTATCCCGAGTACTCGAGGAAACAAAATTTGTGGACGGGCACCCCACTGCCAGTCAGCGGGCCCCTTTGATCTCCAACACGGTCTTGATTTTGTACTCCGGCAACCAGGATAGGCGTGGGAGAGACATGAATTGATTATTACCCTTTTACTGCTGCTTTTCCCTTTTCACAATGAGGCTTCACGAGTGGTGATGTTTTCCGCATAACCATTGTTGAAAAGGATGGCGGGCACTAGGTTTCGACCTAGTTGTCTAGCCAAGACTCACTTGAGAATGCCTTATGGGCTTCATCAAAGAGTCGGTCCCTTTCCAGCGAGAATCTTCTCGTGGTGGATTGGGTACCTTGTTCTGGCCTATCTTGTCTGTCCTTATCCTATCCTTGTAAATGCCATTTGCCTGGCATTAGAAGTAGACCGGCCGTAGCTTGTAGAGTGACGATATGCTCCTTCGATCTGACAACAATCCCTGCATGGGAATTGTCCACGCTTCACACTTTCCTCTCATACCGCGTGACAACTTAAACAGCAGCTTCGCAGTGTGGAATGGCCTATGCTTCAGTGGAATTTGCGCCACGAAGGTGCAACTTCCGTTACATGCAACCAAAGAAGACTTGCGCTTCTACTCCGGAAAGCGCTCTAACGGGCCGTGCTCTATTCATCATGGCGGGTTATTGGTGAGTATGTACTTAACGGTTGAAGTGACAAGACCTTTGAGACGTCTGAACTACTCTGATAAGGTTATACATGGAAAATCCCATCGTTTGGCATAGTTAAGCCATATTAACTCTATATTCTAATTGTTGGGAGCCATGGCACTCTTAAAGGAAGAAATATCTTAAAAAATAACGTCTAAGAAATGTCCGAGAAGACATCTAAAAATACTACTAAAAGTATTTAACAAAGCCACTTATATAGCCGACTATTTGGTTATTTTTATAGAGATATAGAACCCTTTCCAAGGTTATATAAAACTTCATTGATACGAGGAATAGAATGTGTTCAAAGTTTCATCAAGATTGGTCGAAGAATTCCCAAATATATATAAAATGTCATTTCATATTCTCGTTCTGTTGTCCTTGACGTAACTCATAATGTGAAGTACCTAGATGAAATAAGAGAATTAAGTACATAGAGAGTATCCTCCATATTGCACTCCGTAGAGTGACGAAAGACCCAAAATAAACCCCGTTCCGAAATCAATTACCACCAGGACCAATTTTACTTTTTCTGATCCGCCATCTCAATGGTCTGATCACTTGGCTTATGATCACCTGCACCTGTTTCCAAATCCATGGTTTTGGTGGCAGTTTCGTCCACTCCGGCCACAACGGTTTCGAACCGGCGGCCACGTTTCTCAGGACCAACAGCGGTAGTGACCATGATACCAAAAGCAATAATGGCAGTGGCAACTCCCATCACAGGCCCATAGGCCTCAACACGATGACCAGATGCACTAGTGATAAAAGTGGATTCAGAGATTGCGTTCACAATCTGTGCCGATGGCGAGGAAATCATATTTCCAATTTGGTATGTTAGACCTGTGAACGAAGAGCGGAATGCCGGGGGTGACAGTTCGTTTAGATGAACGGGGATCACGCCCCATGCTCCCTGAACGAAGAACTGCATGAAGAATCCTGTCGCGCTCAGAGACCTCTCGCTTTCCGGGAGGATCCATGCCGGGATGAGGACTCCAGACATCAAGGCGGCGAAGATGATTGCTCGGCGACGACCGAAGAACTGGGACAGGTAGCCGATGATGGTTCCGCCCACACAGGCCCCAGTCTTCATCAGAATAGAAGCTCGCGAAGCACCGTCATTTTTGAGCTCCTTTGCAGTGAGCATGAATGTGGTGTACGAGTCTTGGGATGTGTGGGAATAGAAATTAAACTATCGCGGGATAAATTAGATAAAGATTGGTAGGAGCCAGAATATCGTTCATAACATACCCAGGTCATGAGAATGATACAGTAGATGCACATACGCCACTCCTTGCCCAACATGCTTATTGTTTCACGCCAAAACTCGCCTGCGGTCATTGTTCGCTTGCCGGCTTTCTTGGCTTCGATGAAGGACTGTGACTCAGGGAAACAAATGCGAACGAAACCAACTGCAATTGAGATACCGGCTGCACAAGACAGATTGTTAGTGGTAAGAAAACATCATTCGATTGGGACAGTAGACTCACCTGCAATCCAGAATACGGTCTTCCAACTATCTGTTTCACCACCAACACCAAGGTTGGCACATGCCGCAAACACATATCCAAGCGAATATCCTTGTTGAAGGATTCCAGACATAAGACCTCTCGCATTGACACTGGTTTGCAAGATGATTAACGAAAGTCACTCAACCCTGGAAGATAATACTCACGGGCAATGTTCCAAAGCCATGGAAATAGCATTTCCATAAACACCACCCATGAAAAGACCGAAGAGGCTTCGCACAGCCAAGAACTGCTGGAAGGTCTTACTATAAATCGTGGCAATTTGCAAGATTCCCAGAATGATCATATTGAGTACCATAGGCCATTTACGACCATATTTATCACCAGCGAGACCAAAGAACGCAGCTCCTACACTTCTCAGAAGCAGAGTCAGAGTAATGGCAGTTGAAATATCTGTTTTGGATCTGCCGTAGTAATCCGCCAGCTTCTTTGTCTGGATGGAGAGCGCATGGAAGTCGAATGCATCGGCAGTCCAGGCAATGAGTCCCACCAGGAAGAACACCCAGTCTCGAGCTGAAAGCTGTGCCATCAGACTGAAGGGGTTCTGGATACGCTCTGGGGTCTGCCATTCTGCGTATGTCTCTCCTTGTTCATTGGTCACCTCGACACGCTGCTTCCAGATGAAGATATCTCCAATGGACTGACGTGCCGTGGCGAACATACCGCTCGGAATCGGATCTGCCCTTTCATTGGGAGACGCCATTATGGCTGTCTATCAATAGAGGGAGTAGAGTAACTTGAGAAAAAAAAGAAAAGAAAAAAAGCCAGGAAGATACGAGCCCAACTAATAAAACAATCAGATCACTTTGAACAAAGTGACCCAGAAAATTCGACAGAATAGTTTGTGGGACTCTTCCTGGGAATGTTTGGCATATTTCTTTGAATTTTTACGTCGGCGCTTACCATTTTATAGTCACATACCATGATGTACCCCCGCATCTCTATCCCGCATTTTTCTCGTCATGCGAACAACAAATCCCGCTGCACCCCAGGATCCCCCGAGTTTCGGACAAGGTATGTAGAATATCATTCCGCTTATGGTCCAATGCCAAGGAGTGGGAAGCCCTATGCCGCCAATGCGAGGACAGCATATAAGCAACATCCCGCATCGCGCACTTTAAGGCTGGCTTGGCGTGGGGAGAACCTAGCTAAGAGACCCTTCCGGGCTTGGCTGACCGAGATAAATAAGACATCCACAGGCTGGATGGCGCTGTGCGCGTGCTCATTGATCCTTTACGCCGAGAATTTCAAGTTAAAAATGGGCCGATATGCATTCCTGTGGCTCCAGTTCGGTATTTAATGTGTGAGATTACGGCTTAGACCGCCGGAAGAACTTCCTTGGGGGCTCCTGTTGGCTGTTAGTACTCGGCTAGATTGTCTGGATGTTTCCTACCCCGTAGATTGGGGTTAGCTGGTCATTTAAATAACTTCATACCGAGAAAATGCCGGAGGGACTCACCTAATGACGTCTGAAGAGCTGGGGCGCACCACAGTTGTGATGGTTGGATGGCCAAGGTCCGCTAGAGTGGATCTGGTTAAGGGGCCAATTCCCAATCCCCAACCTGAAGTCTCTTGAGTTTAGAACTCTTGGCTTTAGCCAGAGGCTCATTGCGTCTGGTAAAAGAAGCTGAACATGCACATTCCCTTCTTTTAGGGTTCAACGGTTTTGAGGGCTTATATTCTCATGCAGGTATCCATAGCTTATATTTGGAGAAATTGGATCTATTTTGAAGAGTAATGTGATATATATCTTCGGCTCAGTGATATCCAACTCAAAAAGGCACAGAAACAAAGAAAATACCAGAGAACATGGCCGGAGTGAGTAGCAAGAGCTACATACGTCTACGGGTGTACCTTGTAATCATGGAAGCATTCTGAGGGCGGTCAGTTATACCTCGAGCATAGGTAAAAGAGGTAGAAACTTGAGTTGACAGCAATTCTGTATGACTCTCTCAAGTCAATCTGACAAACATATAAACAAGTTTGCTATCTACATTTCACTTTACTCTCTCTTTATCTTTCCTGCAAACACTGAAAGAGATGATCTGGCAAGCCCCGTGTCACGTGATCATCCAGTAAGCGACACCTCAGCAACGACAGCAGCGGCCTCCTGAGGTCACTTCCGCATCTACCAGATCTCTACCCCCCCTTCTTCTATTCATACTTCTTCTTCTTTTCTTTTTTCTTGCTCGTGACATTTGCACTTCATCACCCCTTTTCATCATAATTCAATTCTTCTGCCTTCTTTGCGTGGCGTTTCATTCGGCGAACTAGGTCGTACTGCGGCCTACGTAAATATGGCTCCTCTACCTATCAAGTTCACAGAGCTGGTCAATGTATGTGGCTCCTCATCTTTATCTCACGACCATTGAAGCCTTGAAACTAACCTGCGAATGATTTCTATAGTTGACCTCTGTCGGTATTGCGGTATGTACAACCATGGTTACATGCTCCGTGACTAGCTCTAGCTTCGAGACGGATGCACCGGCCGCCCAGCGCAATATTTCTGGGTATATTTGGACTTTGACTGACATTCATATTTACAGCCGGCATCAATTGGCTTTACTTCATGTGTAAGTTATTTACTGTCACCTTGCGACTGCTCCTCAAAACATGGATCTGGCTAACTTGACAATGTTCCATTTTAGACACTAGAATCCGACCACTACGTTTGTGTTCGTCAAAAGCCGGACGATGATGGTAAACCAGAGGTCATCATTATCGACCTCAAGAACAACAATGAAGTTCTACGACGCCCAATCAACGCTGACAGTGCGATTATGCATTGGAACAAGAACATCATCGCCTTGAAGGCTCAGGGCCGCACCATTCAGATTTTCGACCTCAGCGCGCGGCAAAAGCTGAAATCGGCGGTTATGAATGAAGATATTGTCTACTGGAAGTGGTTCAGCGAAAGGTCCCTGGGTCTGGTCACCGACTCAGCGGTCTATCACTGGGATGTCTATGACGCCACGCAGCAGAACCCCGTTAAGGTGTTCGACCGACTTCCCAACCTTGCAGTATGTGGTTTGCGATGTGGATACAATGATCAAAACGTATACTAATCTGTTGTTAGGGATGCCAAATTATCAACTACCGCGTCAATGCCGAGGAGAAGTGGATGGTTGTGGTCGGTATTAGCCAACAGCAGGGTCGGGTCGTTGGATCGATGCAGCTTTACTCAAAGGAGCGCGGGATCTCTCAGTTTATCGAAGGTCATGCTGCCTCTTTCGCTAACATTACCGTCGAGGGCTCCCCCTTACCCCACAGCCTCTTCACTTTCGCCGTTCGCACCCAAACTGGCGCCAAGCTGCAAATCGCCGAAATTGACCATCAAGAGCCCAACCCTCGGTTCCAGAAGAAGGCCGTCGAGGTGTACTTCCCACAAGAGGCGGTCAATGATTTCCCCGTCGCAATGCAGGTGTCTAGCAAATATGACGTGGTCTACCTCGTTACGAAATATGGCTTCATCCACCTTTATGATCTCGAGACTGGCACTTGTATCTTCATGAACCGCATCTCTAGCGAGACGATCTTCACTACGACCCCAGATTCCGAGGGAGCCGGTCTCGTCGGTGTGAACCGCAAGGGCCAGGTCCTAGCCGTCAGTGTCGATGAAACAACTATTATCCAGTACCTTATGGAGAACCCCGCCATGTCTGGTCTTGCTATCAAACTTGCCTCGAAGGCCGGCCTTCCAGGCGCGGACCATCTGTACCAACAACAGTTTGACTCTCTCATGGCTTCGCAGAATTACGCCGAAGCCGCCAAGATTGCTGCCAACTCTCCCCGGGGTTTCCTCCGCACTCTGGACACCATCAACCGTTTCAAGAGCGCTCCTCAAACCGGTCAGATGTCGGTGATCTTGCAGTACTTCGGTATGCTCCTGGACAAGGGTTCGCTCAACAAGTACGAAAGTGTTGAGCTTGTCCGACCCGTCTTGCAGCAGAACCGCAAGCACTTGCTTGAGAAGTGGATGCAGGAGAAGAAGCTGGAGAGCTCGGAGGAGCTTGGTGACATTATCCGGCCATACGACATGTCCCTTGCCCTGACCGTTTATCTCCAAGCTAATGTTCCTCAAAAGGTTGTTGCTGGATTCGCGGAGACTGGTCAATTCGACAAGATTCTTGCATACTCCAAGCAAGCTGGATACCAGCCGGACTACACCCAGCTGCTTGGGCACATTGTTCGCGTGAACCCCGAGAAGGGTGCCGAGTTCGCTACTCAGCTCGCCAATGAAGAAAGTGGTGCATTGGTTGACCTTGACCGCGTCGTTGATGTGTTTGTGTCACAGAACATGATCCAGCAGGCCACTTCCTTCCTTCTGGACGCCCTCAAGGACAACAAGCCTGAGCACGGCCACCTGCAAACTCGTCTACTGGAGATGAACCTCGTCAACGCCCCCCAGGTCGCAGATGCCATCCTCGGCAACGAAATCTTCACACACTTTGACCGTCCTCGTATCGCCCAGCTTTGCGAGAACGCCGGTCTTATCCAGCGTGCTTTGGAAAACTCGGATGATCCTGCTGTAATCAAGCGCAACATTGTCCGCACCGACAAGCTGAGCCCTGAGTGGCTGATCAACTACTTCGGCCGCCTGTCTGTGGAGCAGACTCTCGATTGCATGGACACTATGCTGGAGTCGAACATTCGACAGAACCTGCAGGCTGTGGTCCAGATTGCTACTAAGTTCTCCGACCTTCTCGGTGCTAACCGTCTGATCGATCTTCTGGAGAAATACCGCACTGCTGAGGGCCTTTACTACTACTTGGGAAGCATTGTCAACCTCAGCGAGGACCCCGAAGTGCACTTCAAGTACATCGAGGCTGCCACCGCCATGAACCAGGTCACTGAGGTTGAGCGAATTTGCCGTGAAAGCAACTACTACAACCCTGAGAAGGTGAAGAATTTCCTGAAGGAAGCCCGCCTTACAGAGCAACTCCCCTTGATCATCGTTTGTGATCGTTTCAACTTTATCCATGATCTGGTCCTGTACCTCTACCAGAACCAACAGTTCAAATCGATTGAGGTCTATGTCCAGCGTGTCAACCCTGGTCGTGCCCCTGCTGTTGTTGGCGGCTTGCTCGATGTCGACTGCGAGGAGAGCATCATCAAGAATCTGCTCTCGACTGTCGACCCATCCGTGATCCCCATCGACGAGCTCGTTTCTGAGGTCGAGAGCCGAAACCGTCTCAAGCTGCTCCTGCCTTTCCTCGAGGCCACTCTTGCCACTGGCAACCAGCAACAGGCTGTCTACAACGCTCTTGCAAAGATTTACATTGACAGCAACAACGACCCCGAGAAGTTCCTCAAGGAGAACGACCAGTACGACACTCTCACTGTTGGAAAGTACTGCGAGAAACGTGACCCCAACCTGGCGTACATTGCCTACAGCAAGGGTCAGAACGACCTGGAGCTCATTAGCATCACCAATGAGAACTCCATGTTCCGTGCCCAAGCTCGTTACCTCGTTGAGCGTGCCGATCCCGAGATCTGGAGCTTTGTTCTCAGCGAGAACAATGAGGGCCGGCGTTCCCTCGTGGACCAGGTCATCGCCACCGCAGTTCCCGAATCCACCGAGCCCGAGAAGGTGTCTGTCGCCGTCAAATCGTTCCTTGAGGCCGATCTGCCCGGCGAACTGATTGAGCTGCTGGAGAAGATCATTCTCGAGCCCTCTCCTTTCAGTGATAACACCAGCTTGCA